ATAAGCGGGACCTGTGAGCTGGATTTGCTGCTTGTGTGTTTTCCTTGGTACTCTGTAAAAAAAATGCTGGCTTCGTGTTATTCTGGACCCTATACATTATTCATCATTCTTTGTTTTAAACTAAAATGTGATGGAACCTCCTCACCCCCTTTTCCATCCTTTTCCATCAGTCACCGCCCCCCACCAGAGCCCCTCCTCAACTATGCATTCAGCTGGCATCGTGCACCGATGACTTATCACACTCGGGCCAGACACAGGGCACCAACGGAGCAGGCAGAGGCGGAAGGTCCTGACAGAGGCTAGCACTGTGTCTGGCTTATAATAGATGTTCTACGGATATTTATTTAGTGTCCACATAAATTCTCTTGTCTGCATTAAGCCCTTTTTGGTATAAGGCAGATAAGGGAACCATAACGCAGATACTCCATCTAGAGTAAAGTGGTTTTTCACTACCAAAAGGATAGTATGTGAAAATGCTCTAAAAACAGCAGACTTTTGTATGAGATGACGTTAAGAAGAAAAATATAATGTTCTGGGTAACATGACGTTACCCCTGTGCAGCAAGGCACAGATGAAAAGAATAATTTTTACTAATAATAACTGACATTTCGCTGCAATTTCACTTATTTGCATATATTATGTATTTTATATGTAATATGTTATAAATATATACTATCAGTTAAATTGAATTCCATGTATGTTGTCACATATATAGTGCTGGGCACACAGTAAGCATTCATTAAATGCACATGAGCCAAGTCTCTCTAAAGATGGTAAAGCAGGCCGGGTGTGGTGGCTCACACCTGTAATCCCAGCACTTCAGGAGGCCGGGGGGGGGGTGGATCACCTGAGGTCAGGAGTTCAAGACCAGCCTGGCCAACATGGTAAAACCTCATCTCTACTAAACATACAAAAATGAGCCAGACATGGTGGCACACAGTTGTAATCCCAGCTCCTCGGGAAGCTAAGGAACAGGAATTGCTGGAACCCGGGCGGCAGAGGTTGCGGTGAGCTCAAATTGTACTACTGCACTCCAGCCTGGGTGACGACAGAGCAAGACTCTGTCTCAAAAAAAAAAAAAAAGGGAAAAGCTAAAATCGGCCCAGGGCACACCTGCAATGACAGATAATGAAGAATCTGACACAAGAGTGAAGAAGAGTCAGACTGAAGCAGAGAGGCTTGGGAAGATTTTCTAATCTGATCTAAAGACGGAAAATATATTGGTTCAATCACTGTTATTTCCGTATCATTTGGTCTCCATGGATTCCACCTAACTTTCCTTCTGACAGGGAAGAATTCCCTGACAATACGGGATCTCACTGTTGAATATTTTCTTGATACTTTACATAAAACAGTTATTCCATATTTAATCTTTTATCATTATTTATATATGCTCAGAAGTAAAATCCCTCCTTGCCGGAAATTCTATGAGAAAGACAGTGTCTAATCCAGTCGTGATTATCTGGGCCTTTTACATTAAGAATAACCTGATAACATTTTAAAAGTTAATGCCTTACATATTTGAAGACTGCCGTAATTTACGCAACATTCTCGTATACAGTATTCCAACTGCTCATGAAAGCAACACTATGAGACATAGTGAAGGGTTATCATTACCCTCCCTACAGCTAACCCCAAAAGGTAATAACTGAACATATTTTTTGTTGTTTGTGGTCAGCTCACTACTGCCTTTCTCCCTGTCAGTTGAGTACACAGAGGCTAGCATTGTGTCTGGCTGATCACAGACGTTCTATGGATATTTGGGTGTCTACATAAATTCTCTTGTCTGCATTAGGTCCTTTTTGATATAAGGCTGATAAGTGAACCGTAACACTTTAGAGTACAGTGGTTTTTCACTAGCAAAAGGGTATTACGTGAAAATGCTCTAAAACAAGAGTTTTGTACGAGATGATGTTAAGAATATAACGTCCTTGGTAACATGAGAAAAATCGACGTACATCAAATGTGGAACATCCAAAGTTTCCATCTTCCCAGTAAGTTTAAACCTCACTCTGGTACACTATTTGCCTAATAAAGTGTTTCAGAAAATGGGACAAAAGCGGGACCGTCGTTCGTAAGGCTGTTAGAACTTCACGTCAAGCGTGTTTGCCATGGTTTGCTTCCAGTTTGACTATAAATCCTTACTTTTGATTACGATGACATTTTTACAGGGAAGTAAACCTGAAATGACTGGAACTTTCTCTAACACAAAAATGACAATTCACTGAGAATCAAATATGTAAATGTTTAATTTTTAACAAGTAGTTACAAATCACAACAGACAAGAACTCTTGGATCTAAGAGAGCAAAATCTAATTTCTTACACAACGGGCAAAGCTGTAAGTTATAATCGTTCACTAATTACAGGGAAATTCCGCACTTCGACACATCAATCAATAGATGTTCCAACTTTCCCCTAGAGATGCCAGTTCGCATGGATGAATCTGGAGATCATCCTCAGCAAACTGACACAAGAACAGAAAATGAAACACCGCATATTCTCACTCATAGGTGGGTGATGAAAAATGAGAACACATGGACATAGAAAGGGGAGTACTAAACACTGGGGTCTATTGGGGGGAAAAGGGGAGGGCCAGTGGGAGGGGGAGGTGGGGAGGGATAGCCTGGGGAGAAATGCCAAATGTGGGTGAAGGGGAGAAGAAAAGCAAAGCACACTGCCATGTGTGTACCTACGCAACTGTCTTGCATGCTCTGCTCATGTACCCCAAAACCTATAATCCAATAAAAAATTAAAAAAAAAAAAAAAAACAAGTCTGAAATATTCCATGTGCTGAAGTTTCCTCAGAAAACGCACGTTTTCCCAGGATTTTTTAAGTTTATATTTTTGCCCCTTCTTGCTCTAAAACAAGAATAAAGGAAAGTTGGGGAAATCAGCGAATCCTGAATCTGTGTGCGCGGTGAAGTTAAACAGAGCCACCTCGGGGCCTGGTAGGGATAACTGCATCTCCCTGCCATCATGACCATCCACCTCCTGGCCTAACCCCAGACCCCCGGGTGTACCTGCCCTTAAGCACCAAAAACTGAACTGCTCAGTTCAAAGAAAACCTGCAGTCGACACGAAAACTAGTAAATGACTGCAGGCTTGACAGCAGTCTCGGTGATTCCTGAAAATCCACAACCGGAAATCTAACTCTCTTCCATTCCGCCTGGCCATTCATCAAGAGCAGACGGAGTCGCAGCCACAGGGAGGCCGGTGGCTAAGACCAAGGCCAGCACCACTTTTCCTCATTTAGAAGGACTGCGTTTTCTCCTTCCATAACCAAGGACAAGGAGCAACTGGAGGGAGGAGGCCGAAGAGGGAGGGGGCGGGGAATACGTCCCCAAGTTTCAGACAGTACCGGGTTAGAAATGAGCGAACGCCACCTCGCTCTTCTCAGCTACCAGGGCGGCCAGTCCCCGGGATCGCACCCGCAGCCGATCGCCAGGGTCCTGCCTACACTGACTGACCCGCGCGCTTCACCGGGCGCCCTACTGCGGCCCTCGAGCCCAGCCTGGGCTGCCAGCCTCCTTCCCCTCCCCCGCTTACTAGGGTACAAGGAGGAGAGGGTGGCAAACGCACCCAGACCGGCGGCCCAGGGGAGTCACCGGCGTGTGCTGGGAGGGGCAGGAATTACACCCGCGACCCTTGGAACTTGGAACGGCTCCCCCAGCCCTCGCGGGCGCCGGCCCCCACGCCGTGCCACCGGGAGCGGGCGAACGCCGCGATTGGCCGCGGCCGGCTTCACTCGGTGGGCGAGCCCTGCCGGCGAGGCGGAAAGGAAGTGGCGGCCGCGGCTTTGCACCAACCACGTTCGGCCAGCGGGCGAATGTCACCCGGCGCCCGGAGCCGGGTCGGAGGGCGCGGGGCGGGCACTCCCGTCCCCACCCCGCCCGGGGACCCCGAGGGGACGCCGGCCCCCACGGCGCCACTCGGTCCCCGGAGCCTCCCCGCCCCCACCTCGGCCGCTCCGTAGCCGAGGCGGGTCAGGCCCAGCGCGCGAGGCCGACCGGGGGCGCCTGCGGGGACCGGGGGAGCTGGGTGCTAGGCCGCGGCCCGGGCGGCTGACCCCTCGGCGCCGTGCCCTCCCGGGGCGCGCCTCCCGAGCCCCTTGCGCGCCGGGGCAAGTGCAGTGACAAAGCCCCAGGGCCCGGCCGGGCGCTGGCCGGCGGGAAGGAGGACGCCGCGTCCCTTCCGAGCGGCTACGGCGGCCGCCCAGCCCCCAGGAAGCGGGGCGCGTCGGCCAGGCCCGGCTCCCAGCCCGCCCTCCCGCCCGGGCTGCTGGCACCCGACGCTCGCGACCCGACCCCGACCCGGCGGGCGGGCGAGCCCCGGGACCGCCGCGGGGCGCCCCAGCAAGTTTCCTCTAGCGGTGGCTGGAGGCGCCCCTCCCGGCCGGGGCGCGGGCTGGGGCGCGGGCAGCCGGGCCGGCGGCGGTGCCTGCTGATGGACTCTGGAGGCAGCCTGGAGTGGCGCCGCCGCGGGCACGAAGGAGGACCCGCTCCCCTCCTTCTGATCCGCTGGCGGCGGTAGCTGCACACACACACGCGCACACACAAACACGCACACACACAATTTTGTTTTAAATGAGGCCCGACTCCAGCGGACCTGCACCCCCACACACAACACCTGGGGCGCAGAAGGACACACAGCAGGTCTGTGTCCATGGAGCCATCTCTCCGCATCTGCAAATCCAAAAGTGAAATTAAACCTCCACCAACCTCCTCCTCCTCCTCCTCCCTCTCTACCTCCTCCTCCTCCTCGCAGCCTCAGCAGCAACAGCAGCAGAACCTGCTTCCCCTAAAATCAGATGATCCATAATTGCGCCGACGGTTCCTCCAAAAACAGATACTAACATTTATGAACCCCGGCATTTCCCGTCTGCAAAACACGGTGTCAAGGCATCAGGACACTCAGACACACACGGCCCCCCATAGTCTCCAGAAACATGCCCTCGAGAGAAACACACACACAGTCACAACTATTATTTGAAAAATGTTACCTCTCAGTGTGCTTTTTTCACGCTACCAATACAATTCCGCAAGGTGTAAGTGTTGCTAGGGTGTGTGAAATGGAAATGAAAGCCCGTCAGTTGAATAATCGCAGGAGCAAAACTAAAAGTTACTCCCCGGCTTGCCTGAGAACAGTCCAGATCGAAAGCAAAACAAGGAGAGGAAACTGCGAAGAGCCGCGGCTGGAAATCCCCCCACCCCCCGCCCTCCTCCGGCCGCGCTCCCTCCCTCGCCTCCCCTCTCCGCCCTCCTCCCTCCGCCCTTCCTCCCCAGTGTTTGTTTCAAGCTTGTGCAACCGGGAGGTGGAGGCGGAGGGAGGGCGCGAGCGGCCCGGCCGGGAGGTGCGGAAGTTCGCCGCCGCCGCTCATTGGCCGGCAGCGCCGCTTTTATCATTTCTCGGAAAAGTCAATTTCATTTTCGCTTCCCCAGGTCGCGGCTGCAGGAGCAACAAGCGGCGGCTCGTGAGTCGGTGGCTCGCACCCAGGGGCGCCCGCACGCGCCTCTAGAAGGCCCGAATCGGGGTCCGGGGCGGGGGCGCAGGCCCGTGGCGCGGGGGCGGAGCGCGGGCACCCGACTCTCCACCCTCAGGGTGGCCTGAAGGTTCCAGGAGGGCGTCCGGCGAAGGCAGGGGGCTCCGACCATCCGGTTAGCCCGGCTGCTGTGAGTGTTTAGAATGAAAACTGGTTTTGTGACACTGACCACCTCCAAGGCATGGAAGGAGCCGTCCACCGAGAGGACAGCACTAGTTGCGTCCTTACCGAATTGGAACGCTATCCGCGGCTGAGGGTGCCACCGTGGGAGGGGCCGACCTCTCTGACACCACCTGGCGCTGCGCTCCTCTCCGTTTAGGAGCTAGAACGAGAAGGAGGCCCATTCCCCAGTAAGTCACAGCCCACGCCAAGACGAGTTATGGAGCCCATACGACCGAAGTTTCTTCACTGCAGGGCGAGGTGAACAAGGGTGTGAGTTGCTTCCACTTAAAGACGTCTTGATGGCGGCTGGTTCTGAAGAGAGGCTTATACTGGAGCACTTCCAGCCAAATTCGGCTTGGGCCTCCTTAACTCATAGCTGGGCACCCTTGGCCTCGGTTTTCAACTCTGTAAATGGAAATAAATGAGAGAAGACGGTACAGCCCTCATGATAGGTGCAGCAAGCGATGCGACTTCCTTGGGACCTACCCCTTTGTGGTCCCTTGCCAAACGGTCGCGGTGGCTCGCTCCTGTAATCCCAGCACTTTGGGAGGCAGGTGGATCACGAGGTCAGGGGTTCGAGACCAGCCTGGCCAACATGGTGAAACTCTCTCTCTACTATAAATATAAAAATTAGCCAGGCACGGTGGCACATGCCAGCTACTCAGGAGGCTGAGGCAGGAGAATCGCTTGAACCTGGGAGGCGGAGGTTGTGGTGAGCCGAGATCATGCCATTGCACTGCAGCCTGGGTGACAGGAGTAAGACTCCATTTAAAAAAAAAAAAAAAAAAAAAAGGTATAGATTCACTGCTGGGTGCGGTGGCTCTCACCTGTAATTCCAGTACTTTGGGAGGCTGAGGCGGGTGAATTACCTGAGGTCAGGAGTTCAAGACCAGCCTGACCAACAGGGAGAAACCGCATGTCTACTAAAAATACAAAAGGAGCTAGGCGTGGTGGCACCTCCCTGTAATTCAAGCTACTCGGGAGGCTGAGGCAGGAGAGTTGCTTGAACCCGGGAGGTGGAGGTTGAGGTCAGCCGAGATCATGCCATTGCACTCCTGCCTGAGCAACAAGAGCAAACTTGTTGGTCTCAAAAAAAAAAAAAAAGGATAGATTCACATTTAGTTAGACTTGTTTCTTCCCCACATGCCATTTCATCAGTCTTTTCCCAGACTTCTGTACTCAACAGAGAAAGTTCCTTCCTGGGAGACCATAGCTGTTTGTATGTAAACAGTTGCCTAAAAAAAATAACTCCAACACCTCTCTGTCACGGAAGTATTGAATTATAGAGACTGAAAAAATAAAGTACCCAAATAAATGTATGTGGAAAGGAAACGGCTAAGAGTTCAGGACTCTGTTTTGTGGCTCTGGTCTCAGAAATAAACCCCACATACATGTAATTTCTTATCCCTTCTATTATAATACTCACTTTTTTTTTTTAAGAGACAGGGTCTTGCTCTGTCACCCAGACTGTGCCATCATAGCTGACTGTCACCTTGAACTCCTGGCCTCAAGCAATCCTCCTGCCTCCCAAGTAGCTGGGATTATAGGCCTGCACCAGCGCCTGGTCCAGCCACTCATTTTCTTATGTCATACAGCAATGACCGCTAAGGGAAATTTTGTACAAACTATAGAATACTTGTCATTCTTTACCCAACCCAGAGACACAAGTTAAAAACCTAGTATTCATTCCTTTTTTTTTTTTTTTCTGTACCAAAACAATCATCTTCCTTTATTTTTTCTGGAGCAGAAAGAGGAATGGAGAAGAAGGGACGAATGCAAGGTGTCACTTTGAACTTCTCTTTCACTGCATACGTGGGACTCCGCTCTCCCGTCAGCAGCCTCTGTGCACAGGCCCCAGAGGTGAGAGAGATAATGAGGTCTAGCTGGACCAGCTAACAGTATCCTCCTTGTGTTTATGAAAGGCAGGTGCCTCTGTTGTATGTTTTCAGGGGAGCAGACAGGGCTGGGACCACCAGCCTGCATCCTGCATCCTGACCACCTGTCGCCATGCACGAGGCTCACTGGAAACTTGCTGGGTGCAGATAGCTTCCACACTATTGTGATGCTAACGCTTGACTTCCCAAGGAACATGTTTCCGGAAAGGGCACTACCCTAATACGGTCTTCGCTAAGCAGGAAGAAGATTATCTTTCCTTGTTTGTACCGTCCTGCTTCCTGCAGCATACCTCCAGTCAGTGGAATCTATTGATGCTCCCCCTAAATGTCTCGGCCTGGCCGGCGCTCAGAGCTCTGCCTTCATTCAGCTACTGCACTTGCCGGCCAACTGTGATCCAGTCTCCTGCTTCAGCTCCCCCAGGCCAGCAGCCACGCTACTGCCAAAATCCGGTAGAAAATGAACTTCAGGTAAAGCACATTTCCAATCCTAACACTGCCCACTCAGAAGCCTCTCTGTAGCCTTCAGAATAAAGGCCATATTATTTGATAAGATACATAAAGTCCATTGTAATCTGGCACCAAACGACCTTTCCAGCCTCATCTCCTGCCATTGTGCCCTGCAAGCCTGCATCCCTCCCTTGCCAAACCAGCCTCCATTCCTTTTTGTCAAACAACAGAGCCGTCCCCTTGTTCATTGTTTCATCCTTAGCCTGGTGCCCAGCACACAGGCACTGCAATACTTGTGAATTAGTAATTACTTGCTCTTTTCATGAAGCTCCCATAAAAGACTTTAGACTTGATCGGAGCCTTGGTTTTATATTTTATCAGCTTTGTAATATAAATGTAACTAATTTTTTTGTAGAGAAATTTGGAAAATGCAAGAACGGTGAAAGAAGAAAACAAGCCACCTGACACCTCACCAGTCAGGAATAGACCTGTGGATGTTTTCATGTATTTCCCGCTAGTGATCTTTCTAAGGGACCATTTCCAGTCCTCGTCTCCTCGGTCTCTGTGTAGGGTTTAAGAATGCTGACTGTGCTGCCTGCTCTCTGCAATGCCCATGTGACAGCCTGCTGTCCTATTCTAGCTCTTGGCCGGCTCCTCATCTTCTGCCAGCCCCCTAAATTATGGTATTTCCCAGCATTCTGTCCTCAACCCTCTTATTTTCTCATTCTGCATGCTTCATCTTTGGGTGCTCTCCTCCACGCCCAGAGCTTCAAATATCACTATTTGGTGATGACTCCAAAATCTAACTTCTGAGCTCTGGACACACTAACTCCTAGACATGCCTCAGGTGCAACAAATTCTACATGTCCCAAATGAGAGATGCCATCTTTTCCACAGCCTTGCACCGGTCACTTCGTTGACTATCTGGGAAACTGGAAGGACTCACAGACTCCCCCTTTTCCTGAGTCCCTGGGCCTCCCTGAAGTGTGGACGTTGCTTCCAATTTTCCAGGCCCCTAAACTCATAAAACATAGAATGTATTTCTGTTTTTAGGCCCTTGATGACATGTCACTACACACCGGAAATGTACAGATGAACCAAACAGCTACATAGTACTGATATACACAGTCAGGAAGTATTTCTTAGCCCTCTGATGAGATGCATATAGTAATAAATCTCTGTGGAAACTCTAGCCTTTTTGGAAGCCTATGAGAAAAAAGTAACCTTTCCATACCGAGCAACTCTGACCCAGTGCTTCAGTCTGCTGTGAAGAAAGCGGAAGGGTCTTGTGGAGTGAAATAGAGTCATCTCCCGGGTGAAGCATGTTTATATTTCACCTGTGGAACAGAACATCCTACAAGACCTGCCTGGCGGCGTCAGGACTCATTTCTTTACAGGGCAGTCGGGTAAGGACAGTATTTCTTGAGCATAATAGTGCTGGACTGCTCCCTGAGTGGATCTTAACTAAGGAATAAATATAAAGACATGTTCAAAGTTGACCCCTTTCAAATGGGTTTTCTATTTAGTTTCCTAAAATTGAAAAAACGTTTCATAAAATAATCATTCAATTAACATTTGTTGAGTGCTCAGGCACATTTCCCAGCACTGGGATATAGCAGTGAAGCAAACGAATGGAAGTCCCAGCCTTCTAAGACGTTTTCTTACAGTCTGGTAGGTTGACATGTTCATTTCCTCTCTGGCATCCCAGTAATGGCACCGACATCATCTCCACCTATAATCACAGCCTGTAGACCTGTATGCTCAACTTAGGAAAGCGTAACATGAAGGCACATAAATGAAAGCCCAAGTGTGTACAGCTATGATTCCATCAGAAGGCTCAGGGCTGCGAGCAGATGCTCAGTTTTCTCGTCAGGATCACTGGGACCACTTCTGTCGTGGCTGCAGGGGCTCCCCTCCAAGGTGCTGCAATTCGGGAGGTTATAAAGGCATGGAAAAGGACGGTTCCATGCTTGTGAGAGCAGTTGCCAATACAGAAGCCACAGATAACAGTCCTGCGTTGCAAAGAACATGACTGTGAAGTCCAAGCTGAATGAACACAGAGCCAAGGACGACAGCACTGTGATGGGATTGAAAAAGCCGTCAGTCAAAGTTCAGGGTCACTGGCCTCAGGCTGGAAATTCTTGAGGAGGCTTGACTATTGCTTTATGCAATGGCCACTTCCATTTTACAAGAAACTGG